ATTCTTCTGATCCCATCATGGAAATAACCACATCACAACTGCATAAACCACACAGACTTGTAGTCCAGCCAAGTTGACACACAGCTCCAACCATCACAGTCATCTGCACTTTCAGCAAGCAAGTTTGTGTCATCTGCATATTGTGCATTGTTAATGAGTCTTCCTCTAATCCTGATGTTGTGTTCATAGAGTCCAGCTTCTTGGATTATTTGCTCAGCATACAGATTGAATAAGCATGGTGAAAGGATACAACCCTGACACACTCCTTTCCTGATTTTAAACTATGCAGTAACCTCTTGTTCTGTTCTAATGATAGCCTCCTATGCCACTGTATTGACATATATTTTTAAAACTAAAGTTTGTGTTTCAATAGATAATACCAGTTGTCATCAAGTTTGCTCTAACTATGGTGACCCCATGTGTGTCACAGTAGAATTTCAATCCATAGTGTTTTCAATGACTAATTTTTCACAAGTACATTTCCAGGTATTTCTTCCGAGGTGTCTCTGGATGGACTCAAACCTCTAATCTTTTGATTTGCACCTAATACCTATATTATTCAAAAATCAAAATATTCTTAAAAAGGTACATGTCAACCCCCAGGCCTATCTGTTCCTTTTCACCCTATGTCAGCCCCCAATTGTCACCTTTGCCTTAGAAAACAACTTCTGTTAGTATTTCCTATAACCCTGTAGTGTTTCTTTATGCAAAAATTAACAAATATAAATATTCTAATGTGCCTTCTGTAGATTTTTACATATCACTGCAGAAATGCCTCCTCATTTTGGTAAATAGTACCATGATGTACCATTGTGTGTTTAGTTTAACTTGTCCCCCATTGAAGGGTGCTTGGGTTGATTTCAGTCTTTTGCTATTCCAAATAGAACTACAATGAATAACTTTGTGTATACATCATTTTGCATATATTACAAACATATCTGCAAAATGAATTCTTAGATGTAAGATTGTTAGGTCATGTTGTTGTTGTTACAACAGGGTGGTTGATACAACCCTGACACACTCCCTGATTTCAAACCTTGCAGTATCTCCTTGTTCTGTTCAAACAACAGCCTCTTGGTCAATGTACAGGTTCTTCATGAGCACAATTAAGTGCTCTGGAATTCACATTCTTCTCATTGTTATCCATAATTTGTTATGATCCACACAGTCAAATGCTTTTGCACAAACTTGAAATAAAAAATCCTTCACTGCTGTGAAGTCAATCCAACTCATAGTGACCCCTCCTTGCGTTTCTGAGACAGTAGCTGTACAGAAGTAGATTGCCCATTGTTCTGGTTACCTAGTGCCGCTCTGACAAGAATATACCACGAATGGGATGGCCTCAACAAACAGGAGTTTATTCTTACAATTTGGAGGCTTTAAGTCCAAGTTCAAAGTGCCAAGCTCTAGGGGCTGGGCAAAAACCCTTCAGCATTGGGCTTCAGCTCTGCCTCCAGCCCCTGGCCCACTGAAGCTAGAGGCTTTTCTTCACTCAGACAGCTGCTGGCTGCTGAGGCTAACAAGTCCAGGGTTGACAAGTAAAAAGGCACAGTCCGGATGTTACCAAACCACACAACAGGCCATTAATTCAAGTTCATTTTAAGTCCCAAGTTTGGCAGAGCATAGCAGGCTGCTGAACAACAACACAGCTACATGCAGAGTCCAAGCATGCCATATACTAGAGACCATTCCCAAAGGCTTCTCCTTATATATACAGGAAGCAGACCACATCCCAAAGGCAGCTACTCAGCTGCTTGTGGCAGATCCCACCATGGAGTTGATTGCCAGTCTCATCATGGGGAATAACTACTACCAGCTGCCCAGCCACTCAACCAGGTCCAGCCAAGTTGACACACAAACATAACCACCATAACATACAAGATGGATCATCTCATACCATGCAAAATGATGTGGGACTTGCAAAACCCCTCGTGGCCCAAAGGAGGCACCGTCTCTGGTGTTGAATATCAGAGCCCAACAAGGAGGTTTGCACAGTTAAGTTTGTTACACTTCCCTATGCCCACTTTCCTGTCCCAGAGGAACCCCTTTTGAGAACTTGTCACAGCTGGCAGACCCAGATAATAAATACACAGCGAGAAGGCCCTGGGAGGCCAGACTTCCAGGAGTATGAAATATAAGAAGGGAAGTGTCTTAAGAGTAGAAAGGACACTGAGGAAGAAGTCACAAGACAGTCAGGTAATGGCAGGGATGGTGCAGCAGAGGTGAGAGTAGTTGAAGAAGAGAACTAGAAGATTTTGACTGGGAGAGGCCTATTAGGTTGTAGAAGGAAAACTCTAAGAACATTGGTGTTGGCAGTCCCTCTCCATAAATATTTTTTTGGTGACTTTAAAGAATCATATATTATTCCTTCTGAAAGAAACTTAGAAACCATATACCTAAACCTTCTTTATCTTAGAAAGGAGGAAGTTGAAATTAAGTGAAGTTTCTCAATATGCATTGTCAGTTAGTGCCAAAGCAAATTCACAAAGATAAGTCCATGACTTCAGAGAAAACTCTTTCTTTTATACTACAAGGCTTCTAAAACAAGACCTAGGGGCCAAAAGGGACATAGGGCATCACTGGTTTTCTCTTTGAGACTTCCTGGTACATGCCTCCTTAAGCAATGATTTTTATAAGGCATAGTGTGTTCACCAGGTGAGATATCATTAGACAGTATGGACCTGAGCCTTCAGAGATTGTTTTCAGAGTTTCTGTATTTCTTTCTTTTCCCACCTCTTCTTCTTCTAGTCCTTAAAAAAAACAATTTCCAAATTACAGAGGTTTCAAAAGTCACTTTTTAGGGGGACATTTTTCTCTTCTAACAGCAAAATATTACTGGTTATTATATCGTTGGGAATTATAGGAGAGAGAGAGGTAAGAATTTTCCTATCTCTTCTGTTTCCTGAAGGTGGAGTAGAGAAGAAGTATAGTTGTCTGAGTCTCTGGATCCCAGTGGTGTAAAAAGGATAAGCTGGAGAATTAGGAGTCTTGCTTTTTAGCTCTAGCTCAGTCACCAATAGACTCTATGATAGGAGGCCAACCATTTCTGCTTTGTGGTCTTTACTTCTACTTCAAGGTGAGGAGTGTTGGTTAGATAATATCTCAGTTCCTTTCAGATGCTCGCATTCTACATCCTTGGCACTACAAACATTTTCTGAATCAAAGAAGAAGCCTGGATTGCTACTCAATACTGGGAAAGATGGATCATGCCAACCGTACTTGGACCCAAAGTTTCATCCTTGCTGGTTTCACCATCACTGCAACTCTGCAACCTCTTGCCTTCTTAGGTGCCTTATGTATTTATCTCCTTACTCTGGCAGGGAACCTGTTCATCATTGTCCTGGTCCAAGCAGATTCTGGACTATCCACACCCATGTATTTCTTCATCAGTATCCTGTCCTTCTTGGAGCTCTGGTACGTCAGCACCACGGTGCCCACCCTGCTGCATACCTTGCTCCATGGACGTTCACCCATCTCATCTGCTGCATGCTTCTTCCAGCTGTATGTCTTCCACTCCTTAGGCATGACTGAGTGCTACCTTCTGGGTGTCATGGCGCTGGACCGCTACCTTGCCATCTGTCACCCACTCCACTACCATGCACTCATGAGTGGACAGGTACAGTTATGGCTAGCAGGGGCCACTTGGGTGGCTGGCTTCTCAGCGGCAGTTGTGCCAGCCAGCCTCACAGCCACTCTTCCTTTCTGCTTTAAGGACATGGCCCATTACTTTTGTGACCTGGCACCACTAATGCGGTTGTCATGTGTGGACACAGGCTGGCATACTCATGTCCATGGGACAGTGATTGGTGTAGCCACTGGGTGCAATTTTGTGCTCATTTTGGGACTATATGGGGGCATTCTGAAAGCTGTGCTGAAACTACCCTCAGCTGCCAGTCGTGCGAAAGCCCTCTCTACCTGTTCATCCCATATGACTGTAGTAGCTCTATTCTATGGTTCTGCCTTCACAGTGTATGTGAGTTCACCCGGGAGTCGACCCGAGGGTACAGACAAGGTTATTGCCTTGGTATATGCCTTTCTTACCCCTTTCCTCAATCCCATCATCTATACCCTTCGTAATAAAGAGGTGAAGGAGGCTATGAAGAGGGTCACTGATAGAATCAGGAATATCTTGAAGGGACTCTGATGATTTCCACTGTCACAGCCCAACTTTCTGGTAAGTATAAAAATCACATGGTTAGTCAACCATCTGGTGAGAGTCAAAGTAAACACCAATAAATTAATCAATCAAATCGTTGGTAAACATGCTGCTAACACTTAACCAAGTGCATCTAGTCCTGGGTTGATCAAAGTTGGAATATGTAGAGAAAAAGGAGGTATGGTCTCTGATTCCATCCCAACCTAATGGAGGACAAATGTCACAAAAGAGGAAAGACAAAAACAAGAAACTAGGAAGAGTGCAAACATTTTAGCTGAACCTATGTCTTAGAACCATCTTTGGGTGGTACAAATGATTAACATATTCACTGCTACCCAGAAGTTTTGAATCCACCCAGAAATGACTCAGAAAAAAATCTTGGTCATCTACTTTTGGAAAATTAGCCATTGAAAACCTATGGGGTTCTCCTCTGACACACTCTGAATTGGTATGGATTTAATGTCAACTGGTTTAGTTTTGTTTGAATGTCTTAAAGAGAACACAATGCTGAGAAAATGGACACTAAGGCTGAGAGTAGTGGCTTTAGTTAAGATAGGATACTTGGAGTAAGACTGAGAAGATGGTAGGAATTGAAGTTGGTAAAAAGAGACTAATATAATAGTTTGTGTCAAGTTTCAGATATGAAACAGTGACCCATAGACAGAAAGCTCATCAGATTGCATAATCCAGTGACCTTGTGTTATCAAGTGATCAGAGGATGCCCAGTGGAGGGGAGAACTATTGGAATTAGAAAGTGGAAGCTACAGATTATTCTCTAATGGGACAAGAACAGGGTATTGGAGATGTGGGTATTGTCTGAGATCTCTTCCAATATCACAGAATACATCTTAGAAATTATCTGACCCACATCAATACAAGAAAAACAAAAAACCAAGAAGCTTTGCAAGTCTTGTATATAAAGCACACACATACAAAGTAAAAAACAAATGGAAATTGAAAGTAGAAATGGGGACGTGAAGCCCTGATCACTCCTGATCTTCTCTTTTCTTCCTCGGCCTCCACCCATTTCCTCTGCTGAAAAGAATTTGAAAATTACTAATCAAATTCAACTTTTGTACTTTAATGATGGTTGAATTGAGTCTCTAAGACCTGCCAAAGTATGCACCAATAATTAGTGACAAGATTAGAACCAAAACCTTGGCAGAGAGTAGATCACTGTCCGGGTCTTGAGTGATCTCTATTTTTTCTCTCTCATTCTAACATTTCTCCTTGCTAAAAAATCAAATCATTTATTTTTGTATGCGTACCCTATGTCAGAAACAGTGACATGTGCTGTGGAATATATTTTTTAAAAATTGAATCCTCATAGCATACATTTGAAGAAGGAAGAATCATCCTTATATGTAGATAGTGAAAATAAAAAATTATTCTGAACTTGCAGTAAAGAGACATGGATTCAAGCCCTAGATCCACTCTAGCTAGTTGGGGGACCTTTATGAGATTTCCTCAGCCTCCTTCTGTCTGTCTGTAAAATGAGAGGCAGGGAGTGGATACATGCCCACATTTCTTCCAGTTTGGGGAGTTTTGATTTTATGATTGCAACACTTGTAAAGAAAGCAGAACCTAAATGAGGTCCAGATGGGTAGGGAAAGGTATTGGGCCAAATTCCAGTTTTGCTTTTTTTTTTTTTTTTGCCTACATGATCTTGGGCAAAAAAAGTAATCTCTCTCTGACCTCAGTTTTCTCTTCCTTGCAAAAGAGTAGAATAATTTTCTACAACCAAATGTTCTGAGGATTAAATGAAATAACACACACTAAATGTTGAATAAATAATTTCATCTTAATATCCAAGAGAGAATGGCACGTAATGGTTACAGCATGGATCTTGAAGCTTGTCTTGTTCAAACATTAATTGCACCATTTATGTGCACTGAACTTCCCTGTGCCTCAGTTTCCTCATCTGTAAAATGAGAACAATAATTAATCTTTCTCCAGAGAATATTTGTGAGTTAATTTAGTGAGCACATGTAAAACACATAGAACATTAAACACTGTATAAATTTAATCATTATTGCTTCAAGCTTTTTCACATACTTTTTTGCAGTGGGGATTTCTTTCCTTGAGAATGTTTAGTTTTATATACTTCTCTCGTTTTTGTTATGAGTGAGGGGAGTTGAATTAGTAACACTCCAAGTGCAACATCTCCTTTTGACTTAGATCCCCAGAGTCATCTTGAGAAGTACTCCCTACTTTCATGAAATCTATGTTTCCCTAAATGCAAGGTGCAATTCTCCAACCTTCTGGCCTGCTAAGTGCATTGCTTTTGTGCAGAGCTTCTAACTGGTTCATTCCAGTTTGAGCCACTGTTGAGACTTTGCATTTCCACCCAAGACACACTGAATCAGAATCTACATTTTAATTAGGTTGCAGCCCTGGTTTTGAGCTCCTATCCTTTTTTCTTCTCCTGAACCTCACTTCACATGAGTTGTTTTTCTTGTAGAAGTAGTAATGGGTACAATAGAAAACTACATCCTGTGGTGAGGGCATCAAAGAATGACTGGATATTACTTCCCATTACAATGGCTTTGGTCACATTATTTAATAACCATGTGGGTCCTCATCACGAGGGGTCCTATAATGTTCTGTGAGTTTGGGGAGCTTGGAATCTTGTTGCAGAGACATAAAAATAGTCGTCTAACAACATAAGGCAGTTTATATCTCACCATTGGTTTCTAGTGTGAGTGCCTGGTATTCACTTATTTATAAATAAGTGAAGGAATAAATGAATAAATTAACTCCTAAGAGTCAAATGAGATGTTAGATATTAAGTGTTCCTCCTGTAATCCCACATAGAGACAATCTCTTTCTTACATCCAATTAGAGCTCCAGACGTCCCTGGCCTTTCATTCCATAATCTTTTCCCTTTTTGCAATATTTCTAGGTTCTTTCTTTTAGAATATAAATTTTAGGTATTCATTAGGGCAGAGTATCCCAACAGGTA